AGACAACTCAACCATCATAAATATTTGTCAGATTAAAGAAAATTATGAGTGTGAAGATTGTTAAAAATCTATTTTTCATAATTGATATAAATGTAATGAACAGAATTAAAGTGAATTGATAGTAAAAAAATACTTATTACAATAAACTGCATTTATTGAGATTGATATCAAAGTTAATAATATTTTAAAAGAATATTTTAGATATTTAATTTTAAAAGACTGTCAAGCGCATTAGTTAAAAAATTCTTCTCATCAATCTTATCTTTTGCATCTCATTTTATTTATAAGTTTTACCAAAAGAACTTGTTATTAACAATAAAAATAAATCCAACGAGTAGGTGATTACATTTTTGATAAATTTGTTTACCAAAAATAAATAATTGTTAATATTAATAATCTAACTCTAAAAATATCTTTCATAATGTCTTCATCATGAAAACACAGCCCCTAGTGAATAAAAAAAAAACTGAATGCTTATTAAACCCCTTTATATATTATTTCACCAGGATGGTATAATGCTTGAAAATATGCATGATGTGCCATATCAAAAATCAGAAAGCTTCACTCCAGAAACTGTCGCTACAATGACAAAAGTTTGTTCAGAAGTTAAGAAATGCTTGCCGACAAACACTCCATGTGGGGTACAGGTAATAATAGAAATATTTCTAATATATATATATATATATATATATATTATATAAATAATATTTATATTTATTTATTTAATACATATATATTTATTATTTTCTAGATATTAGCTTGTGGTAATAAAGAAGCACTAGCAGTAAGCCTTGTGTGTAATTTAGACTTTATTCGTTGCGAAGGCTTTGTATTCGGTCACGTAGGTGATGAAGGCTACACTGATGCTTGTGCAGGCTCTCTTTTGCGATACCGAAGACTTCTACAAGCAGACCATATAATGGTGTGGAGTGACATAAAAAAGAAACACAGGTATAACTAAACTATGTCTACAGGTCCTCATTTTACAATATTTTGCTTCTAAATCTCCAAATTTTTCACTTTTATTTCATTTTAAGATATATTCTAATCTTAAAATCTGTCCTATTATGCGTCCAAATCTTAATTTTATCAAATTTATGCTTCTTAGTCAAAAATTGGTTCGCTTAGAGCGTCCAAAGTATTTCCATTTTGATGTTCCCCAAACTTATAATCACCACTGCCATGCATTCAAATTTAGAAATTTCTAATTTAACACTTCTTAATTTCAAAATGTTAACTTTTATGTGTCCAAAACCTTAATTTTTGCAAATTTACCCTTCTTAATTTTAAAATCTCCACTGAAATGAGCCCAAATTTTTAAATATTTAATTTAACTCTTTAGAAACTCAAAATATTCACTTTTATGCGTCCAAATCTTAAAAACCAGTCTATTATGCGACCCAAACCTTAATTTTTCCACTTTGATGCGTCCTAATCTTGAAAATCACGATTTTTATGCGTCCAAATCTTATAAATCTCGATTTTTTATCTTAATTTTTCACTATGGTACATCCCAATCTAAAATCTGCTTTATTATGCGCCCAATTCTTAATTCTACTTAAGGGGTTAGGGGTACTTGCAGGCACGAAAAAAATGAGTGTTTTCAGTATTTTTTTTTTTGTTATTAAACGATGTTTTTCTACAAAAATATTAATACAGCATTAATATACAATGTTTTGACTTGATGTATAAAAATTTCAGAAAAAAAAAATCAATATTCCCAAAGTTATAGCCGTTTTTGTTGACCCTGTTTCGAAAAACGGTCCTGGCGGTGACCATCATAACTCCTTAGAGATTCATCTAAAATCAATCAAATAAAAAAATAGTTTTATGAATAGTTATCCCGGGCCGATCGAAGGTTTTCTTTTTTTGCAAAAATTAACAAATGGCAGCATCAGAAAGAAAAATCTAGATTTTTGGGTAAAAAATCAACAGTTATTGGTCTTAAAAAATTCAAATTTTTGAAAAAATAAAAATCCTTCGATCAGGCACGAGCTTATTATGTATTCTAAAAGCTGTATGAATTTCATTAAAATTTACTAAGTGGTTTTCGAGTTACAGTGGTCACCGCGTCAAGAAACATAGTTTTGAGAAAACGCGTTTAAAGTTTCACATTGGATTTACATACAGAAATTCGAATTATTGAATTACTTAAACAGAGTCATCTATCTCTGGGCCATATAATAGTTTATCAGTCATTGTGCAAGTTTCCAAAATTTCCATTTGCTGTTGCCTACAAAGCATTCTGCCTCCTGAGTGTTCTCGTTGGGTTTGGGGCGCTGATCTGCCACTTTCACACGTGCAGCATCCAATTTTTCATCATACCAATGGGAAATTTACCCACAATTAGGTTCTACGTATCCATAATCAATAATAATAATTATGTATATGAATTCAGCAATTTGTACGATAGTAAACTAGTATTCAGGTTTCTAGGTATATTTTTTACACTAGTTGGTTGAAGTTTTTAATTTTTTCTGATTATGGATTTAATCTTGAACTACAACATCTTGAAAGTAATTATCATTGCTGAGATCGTCGTAATCGGTTTGAAAGCGTTAAAACATCAGGAGGTGAGGGAGAATGATTTTAGTATATACTATCGAGCTCTCCACTTGCGTCAACGCTCTGGTAAGAGTCCAATAACTCAAAAATTAATCATCGGATCAACTTGAAATTTTCAGAGAATATTTTCAAGATGTTACCCTTAATGAAAATGCAAAAAAATAAAAATCGATTTTTCAAAAATCCCAAGTACCCCTAACCCCTTAATTTATTCTTCTTATTCTTAAATTCTTCGCTTTTAGCTTCCAGATCATAAAATCTTTGCTTTTATGTATATAATACTTTTTAATATCAAAATGTTCACTTTTATGTGTCCAAAACTTAATTTTAAAATATTCAATTGTCTCATAAAATATTTAAAATATTCATTTTTATGCATCCTAATTTCAAAATCTGCTCTATTATGCACTCAAATCTTAAAATTCTCCCTTTTTTGCATCCAAATCTTAAAATATTCACTCTCATGAGTCCAAATTTTAAAATCTACATTATTATGCATCAAAATCTTAAATTTTTTATAGTTATGCGTCCAAATCTTAAAATCTGCTTTATTATGCTACCTAATCTTAACTTTTTCCACTTTGATGTGTCCTGATCTACAAAATCTCGACTTTTATCCGTCCAAATTTTATAAATCTAGATTTTTTATCTCGATTTTTTACTATGATACATCCCAATCTTATAATCCGCTTTATTATGCGTCCATCTTAATTCTACCAAATTTACGCTTCGTAATCTTAAATTGTTTACTTTTGGCGTCAAAATCTTGCTTTTATGCATATAAGTTTTACATTTTGAC